AAGTACACAACCAGTAGTGTAAAGTCTACTTACTGACTCCATAAAAGCTGTCAACAAAACCATTATCTATATCGTATCCGATACACACAGATATTTACGAATCTACTAAAATATGACCATGTAACTAGAATTAAAAACACAGGTTTGGCCAACTTATCAGTAACCAGCAAGAGTTCTAGTCTGTTTTCTCGACTGTTACTACTAAAATTGTAATAATTTTATCTTTTTGCTACACTACAGTAGATAAAACGGAAACTGTTTGTGTAACGTCTTTCCGTGGCTTTTCGCCCACTTTATAAACAAAAAACTAACCGTGTTCGTTTTCGCCATGGTAATTCGTGACAATGGATTTCTGATGTTAGGAAAAATAAGCATGTTTAAAAGTTTAAGACAAAAATACAGAACTATAACCCGAGCACTTTCCTTTCTTCAGGGTCATGATGAGAGGTCCACCTTTCAAAAGAGCTCGGGTTATAGGATTTTGTATTAATGACAATGGACAAATGATGACGTTCGAAATTGAATACACAAAGAGGCGAGTGAAGAACATCAAAATCCATACAAATTAAAGTTCTATCACTATTATCAAGCTTATATTTTTATATATGTAAGCAATACACATAGGTTATTGGCAAAATAAAGCGTAAAGTTTCACAATCATCACCGAGTTTAACACAAGTATACCAGTATTGCGACCGAGTTAAGTATATTGTGACGACCTTGGTTACTAATACTATTGGGCTATTCAACCTGTTATACCTTAACATGTTCACGTACAAGGATCTTGTTGGGATTACCAGTTGTTCGGAGTAATTTCTGCGAACAAGCTTGCTTCCTCGAATCAGGAAAATTAACAATTACATCACTATATTGGGGTTGAAACAGTGTAACTATATCCTATATAGAGCTATCCAATTCGTCGATATTGTTGTAAAATATAATCAATATTTTTACAGAAAATCGACCGTTACACATTTTACAATTAGTTAAGAATCATCCTTAGTAATACTAATAGCAGTTTGGTATAGGTTTAATATAATTACTCTTTGTCCTCACAAATTAAATTTTAAAATTGAAAGTACGTCAAATTACATCTTACCTTGACTTGATTTTCTTATAAGTTATATCCCCGTTTTGACCTAAAACTTAAAATTGACTATAACGCCACACGAGTTTTCAGTTGTTTTTTAAACATAAATGGTTCATGAAAACTTCTGAATTAACTCAATACTTCTAACACCTCAGTATACTGTCTTTATGTCATGTATAATGAAACGACCACTCAACCTGCTTTTGGTGGGGTAGACAACGGAAATTAGAAATGACGAATTTAGCGCTCTCTGTAGTGCTAATGAAGAAACACAAATTATTATATTTTATTTCTTAATCAAAAATAACCTCTGATATATTGTTTGTTTAGTTTAGCAAAAGCCAAAAATATATATATATAGGCTATCTACTCACTGTCTAACTCGGGAAAATGAACATTGAATTCTAATGTTGTAAGTCCGTGAACTTACTGCTGACCCGCTGGATATAGCCGTGGTAGAAAAATAAAATAAAAATGTTGATTAATCAAAATGTTATGACAAACATTGAGCCTCAACATGTACAAATTTTTGTCAGTTTTCTTTATGTCTTTATGGTAATGTTATAGTCCCAGTTGTCTGGTACAATCTTTATTGCAGTTATGGTTTGTTTTATTTAAAAGGTGTAGTCTAATCTGTGTCGTTTGTCTTAAAGTACAACATGTGATGAACCGCGTTGGTCTAAGTCAGTGGTCGGCAACCTTTTTTGATCGCGGTCAATTTTTTTTTTTTTGAAAAATTTAGCATTGTGTTGGGTCAGTGATA